GATCATACACTTTTTCACGGAAATCGACCGATTATGATCGGTGACCGATCGATCGGCACACCTCTAATAATTATATACTGAGGGGCACCAATGAATTGGCTATGATTTCCTTCATTCTTGGAGATTGGTGATTGGCCGATACTTGCATTCTTCCATTCTTTTGCAGAGCAAAAGAATCTAGAGAGGATGACTTACAACCCCACCAGGTCATGTTTGCAATCAAGCTGAAAATTGTCCCAGTCCAATCATGAGCCAGTTACTCCAGGCCTCTCTACTCTTTACAGATATTTTATCTTGAATCATAAATCTGTGTCTTGGGATTCTGTTCACATCATGTCTCACATCCCTCTGGCTGCTCTAACACCCATCTCACCACTGGGTCAGCTGACATCACCATGCCAAGATTGTTTACGTTACCGGAGCCACTGCTGGATGTTAGCCTGAATGTTAGCATGTCATAAAAGCAACCTTCTGCATATGACATTCTGTTTGTGCCACCTACCTGAGACTGATGTGAGCAGATATAACTTTGTGAACAATCGGTAATGTGTGTGTTATGGATTTACATTTCACACACGTTTGGCTTGGTGATTACGCTAGCAAGTAAATGAGTCATCACCAGCTAATAATCATTATCATCTGAATGCTGATTGTGATTTTTCAATCACAACCAGCAAATCAAAACACTGCATCACTTTACAAATAAACAGCAGAATTTTGGAAAACAAGAAAGGTAACTACTGTCAATAGTTTAATGTTGTACCATCAGAATATTTAGTTAAGCAGACAAACTTACTTATTGTCCATTTTAGATAATATCTCTTCATTGATTTACTTTTAAATGTGACCAGTATTGCATAGCTTACGCACTGGCAGATAACTAAATTAGGATTTAAGTGAAGTGAAAAAAAACTATAGCCCTTTAGTAGGTTTTCTCAAACTAACCCTGGAAACTGTATTGTATTCCATATATTATAGTTTGGTGTTTCCTCACAATTCACGATAAATCCTCTTAGTGTGTTTCTTGCATGAAAACTACCTTCTGTGCAGTGTTAGAAGCACTTTAATATGAACAAAAACAACTCTAAAGATCAAACGGCGTTAACATGTTGGCATTAAGTGTCTGTGTGTGTGTCTTCAGGCAGTATAGAAGAGCACCAGAAGATCTATGAGGAGTCCTGGGTGAAGTTCCCCAGAGGTCTGGTTCCTCGAAGGCTGCCTCTTAACTTCCTCACAGGTAAACGCAGGACAGCCTGCTGCTAGACACTGATCCATTAGCACTCTTAGCTCAGCCTTTGGGTCATACTGATATCAGCATGGCTGCAGCAGCTCCCCCTGTTGCAAACATTAACTTTAGCACTACAGAAACTATCAGGTGGAGTACAGCAGGAGAAGGATCAGGTGGTTGAGTTGAAGATCCTGGCTCCAGGTTCAGTGTGATCCTCTCCTGTGGAATCAGACAGGGTGTGGTATTTTGGGCTGATGACTCCATATTGCCATTCCAGCATCACATTCCTGTCTCCTTGTTTGTTCCGGTCAGGGGAGAAGTTCCGGGAATGTCTGGACATCTATCTGAGGATGAACTTCACTAAAGGCTGCCCTCCTGTGTTCACCACGCTCAAATCCTTGTACACAGACGGAGAAAAGGTTAGCAGAACCGTTCTACTGGAAAGTTTCTGGCTGAGTATGAATTAACGTACTTTGTTCATTTTTCCATTTTAGGTAGCGCTAACTTATTGTTTTTCTTTTGTTTTTTTATGTTTTTGGGGCATGCAGGTTACGATAATAGAAGAATTAGTACTTGGCTATGAAAGCTGTTTAAAAAGCAGTCGAATGTTTAGTGAAGATGGTAAGTGTTTCTATATGTCCTATTGCATCACTCTGATTGGTGTCATTCTAGCTGTCTCTAAATGCAGGAGTTGTGTGTGTTACGCATGTGTGCAGATGATGGGAAGGAGGAGCCTCCAACCACCCTCCTGTGGGTGCAGTACTTCCTGGCCCAGCACTTTGACTTCATCGGCAAGGCCAGCCTGGCGCTGGAATACATCAACACGGCCATCGACAGCACACCCACACTGATCGAGCTCTTCCTGGTCAAGGCCAAGATCTACAAGGTATGACGGTGCACTCAGAGTGATATGCGGCACTGGGATGACACAACTTCCAACTGTCCGGCCTGATCCGCAGCATGCAGGCAACATCAAGGAGGCGGCTCGATGGATGGACGAGGCCCAGGCGCTGGACACTGCCGACCGATTCATCAACTCCAAGTGTGCCAAGTACATGCTGAAGGCCGGCCTTATAAAGGAGGCAGAGGAGATGTGCTCCAAGTTTACACGGGTACATTTACACTGGTCACTGTTTGCCTAAAGGTGGTTAGGCTGGAAGAATAGCCTGCCTCAAGGGATTTGGGGACAAAAACATCCTGACTGCAACCTAATTTTTCTTAGGGGTTGTCCTCGAGATAAACTGCCGGCTCCTCTTTTTAGACTCTAAATGGATTCAACATTGCATTCTCTTTAGCTTTCTCTGTTCTGTATGTAATAGAGACTGAAATTAAATGTGCCATTTCTACCAAAGTTTTTGAATGCGCTTCCTAACGCTCCAAAGTCTCCGGTCCATAACTCTTCAACATGCCGTCAGTTCCCGGTCAGAAAGACTCATTTAGTTCAGAGTTCATGAGATGATATTCAGAAAGGATTCTTTTATTGATTGATTTTAGTTGCCTCTGAGATGAACTCTTTGCATAAAGTCTGCCATGTCCTCGCATGAGGGTGTTAATTATAACCTGTCAAATGACCGATGGGCTTTAAATTTTCCTGTCGTTTAAAAAAATAACCGGTCAAATATGGTAAATATTCCGTTAATGCAACCTCTGACCACATGGCTAATTAGCATATCAAAACAATCACACATTTTAACTGGTTTTCCTTAAGCTTGTAGGTCATAATAGATGTTACTAACACTATACATGGAGCACAAAACTCCTCAGCAGTCTGTCTCTCTGTTCGGTGTTTTAACCACACAACCAGACAGATTTTTAAAAGAAGCAGCAAAAGCAAATGAGGTGGATCAGCAGAGCTGGTCAGTTGTCTCTGCTGCCTGCATATTGAGCTGTTAGCCTGTCATGGTAGTCATGAGACTGTCATATAGCAATATACTTCAGTCAGAGACTTCTTCAGATTTGCAGCAACACTGACTGCTACTGGAGATCTGCTTGTCCATTAAGTCACCATCAAAATGACTCTTTGAAAATGTAATATCTCTCTGGGATAAAGTAATTGTGAGTTGAATTGAATTGACTCGCGGGCCCTTAAAGTAAGTGCAGAGTGTTATTCTGGATTCAGGGCTGATGCTCTTCTAACAGGCTTCATTCACCTCCTGTGTTTGTGAATCTTGTGTCTCCAGGAGGGGACATCTGCAGTGGAGAACCTGAATGAGATGCAGTGCATGTGGTTCCAGACAGAGTGCGCTTTAGCCTACAAGGCCATGAACAAGCTTGGTGAGGCCCTCAAGAAGTGCCATGAGATCGAGAGGGTACGTTTGTTGCTCACTCTGTCATCGCAGGTGTCTGTTATTGTGAAGAAATCACGTGCACATTTAATTTTTGCTCTGTTGCTGTTCCTGTTATTCTTGAAGTCAGAATTGCTTCATTTTCCGGATTGAACAGTTAATTGTTCTACATCTATTAATGTGTTAATCTGCTGCATTGTTCCGGTTTGTCAGCGTACCAGCTGGATTCATGGAACTCTGAATCTGTCCTCTCCTTGTGTCTCTCAGCATTTTGTGGAGATCACAGACGACCAGTTTGATTTCCACACCTACTGTATGAGGAAGATGACGCTGCGCTCCTACGTGGACCTGCTGAAGCTGGAGGACGTCCTGCGACAGCACCCCTTCTACTACAAAGCCGCTCGCACCGCCATCCAGATCTACCTGGACCTACATGATAGGCCACTGACCGATGACAACAAAGAGAGCCAGGCAGACGCAGGTCTGACGCTGCGTCTCACCTGGCTTTAGTAGAGAGCTACATGCTGGGTGTGGGGATAAAACACTTAGAAATGAAACTTTTCTCTTTATGCAGAGAACCTAACAGACAAGGAGCTGAAGAAGCTGCGGAACAAACAGCGAAGAGCGCAGAAGAAGGCTCAGTTAGAGGAGGAGAAGAAGAATGCAGAGAAAGAGAAGCAGCTGAAGAACCAGAAGAAGAAAAAGGAGGATGATGATGAGGAAATTGGAGGGCCCAAGGAAGAGCTAATACCAGATAAGTTAGCTAAGGTGGGTCCAGGGGTTCTTGTGTTCTATCAGCTTGAAGGAATGTTTTTGGAGTATAAGAATAAATAATAAAAACTTGGTCTGATTGTGTGTTCCCAGCCGGAGAACCCTTTGGAGGAGGCAGTCAAGTTCCTCATCCCTCTGAAGAACCTGGTGCGCAACAAGATCGAGACTCACCTGTTGGCCTTTGAGATCTACTTCAGGAAAGGTTGGCAGCTCAGAGGAGGGATGGGATCGGTCAGCCACATCTGCTGCCTCATGGCAACTTCAGATTGGCAGTCAGACATTTCTGTTTAAATATGTCCGACTGCTGTGACTAATTCAGCCTTTAAACCTTTCTCTGTTTGTTCTGTAATAACTATATAATAAATGGACTGACCCTTTAACTGACCGATACCTGCTGACTGTAACTTAGATGAGCAATCCCCAGGATTTGTAAAACTCTGACCTGCTGATATAGTTTTGAACTGATTTAAGGAAATCTCTCTTAGAGGTTCTACAGGATATATTCTCATGTGATCAGTTGTTTATTAGCTCTCTTAGAAGCAGAGGCTTCATCACATGGTGTGCGTTTGTGCCAACATGTCTGAGAACAGAGAGGGGTTCTGATCACCAGCTGGTTTCACGGTGCATTTGCCACTCTGTAACCTGGTTTATCTACATGTTACAGTGTTGCACTACAAAAGGTTGATGGAAACTGCAGAATTCAAAATAACTTCCTCAATTTTTGCAATATCTTTACGCTCACATGAATGTAAAAAGGTTTTTGACTTTTCTGAAGTAGTTAATGCACTAAAGTGTATATAGACACTTTTGCAGAGTATGTTCCAATGTAGCAAATTTTCTCATCCACTGATGGGTCTGTGAAATTTATCCCTTTCAGAGGGAAATACTTTTTCTGACATGTGTGGTCCATTCTAGTTTACAACCTCAACTTTCTGTTTATTACAGCCGTACATGTCATCAGCATCTGACATAACCTGGTTGATTTGCTCCAAACCAGTAGATAGAAACACACTGAACTTAAAGGTTTATCTAAAATCAGCATGATAATTAGATGGAAACTGAGCAACTGATCAGCCTGTTTGAGCTTAGAAAACAAAAGGTTTTTCCTCCACCATAACTTGTCTGTCCGTTCTTTATCTCCCAGAGAAGTACCTTCTGATGTTGCAGTCGATAAAGAGAGCGGTGGCCATAGAACCCTCCGACCCATGGCTGCACCAGTGTTTAGTGCGCTTCTTCAAGAAGGGTGAGAAAGTGACTGCTGGCCGTGTTCAGCTCCCGGTCCTTCCAGTGGTGACTAAAGTTCAGTGTTTGCTGCCTGCAGTGAGTGAGAGTGCAGACCTGGCCGAGGCGGTGAGGACCGTGCTGAAGCAGGAGATCTCCAGGCTGTTTGGAGACAGCAACCCTCAGAGCTTCAACAAGAACTACCTGAGCCAACACTCCAGCTGCATCCCCCACCGGCTGGCTGGTAGGTACGCCTCAGAGGGAGGAGCTACAGGCTGCACCATGTTCCTGGCTCTGCTCTAGTTACTGATTTAAACATGTGGAGCTCAAGAAAACATTGGGACTGTACAATATCAAAACTACTAAAATGAATAAAAACCTGGGAAGCTAAAGGCTAATTTGGAACAGGAAATACAGAGGCCAAGCTGTATGGAGCTGAGAACAGTAGACAGACTTGCTAAAGACAGCTTTACAAGAAAGCAACAGTTTCTGCTTTCTTGCATGTCTTTGCATATTGTAAAAATATTTTACTGGTGGTGGGACTCAATTAAAAGTTTATTGAAGGGGCTGTCATTAACTAATCACTATTGCATTTTAATCAAACCATATATTGACAAAATAATTAACATTTTCAATTCAAGACCCCTTTTTACCAGTTAAATTCTTGAATAAATACAAATAGGAGCTCTACAAGAAAGATATTTATACTTTTTAATCTGTTGTTCAGGTTTTTCCACCATCAGGTCAGAGCAAAGTGTTATTCAATCCATTCATCTTTCCAGAGTTTCAGGAACTCCTGATCATTCATGGAACTTCTGTAGAAGCTGACATTAGCGTTAGCCTCTGTGCATTCTGGACTCTCTGTTGTATGCAACGTTTGCACCAGAAGCACCTCTCAGGCCCGTGTCTCCTTGTGTCTGCAGCTGCTAAGATGATGGTCTACCTGGAGCCGTCCTCTGATAAAATGGCCTGTGAGATCGCAACAGCTCTGGCCGAGCCTCTGTCTGGAAGAAGCATCCAGGTGAGTCATTTGACCACTGGAGGGCATCACAGTGAGCGCCATGGTAACTGAAGCAACTTGTGTTTGTCCCCAGATCTGCTCCGAGGTGCTGGAGGCTCTGAGGAGCGGCCAGCTGGGCGAGGCTCAGCAGAAAGCAGCTGAGTCTTACTGCGCCACTTGCCACAAGATCTACCCTTACTCCCTGACCTTCAAGCCCCCCGGTTACCAAGACAATAGCACCGCAATCAGCGCCAACGGCGACCTGTCGGCAGGAGAGCACGATGATCTCGCACATGAAATGTGAGGAGAGGGGGAAGAATTGGGGGATCAGAGGGGGAGACTGCTGCCAGACGCCTTAGTTCACCACCACAGCCCCACCCCTCCCCCCACACCCACACATTGCACTGACCTGCTGGACTGAGTGCCCCAGGATGGACGGCAAAGGGAACAGAACCATCAGACTTTTTTTAAACAACACAAAAGGCTCTGCCCAGTTCATGGCATCAGAAAAGAACTGATATATTTACACTGGGAGGCAAAGGATTGTGGGAAGTGTGGTCACTGACTGGCTGGAGTGGCCTGGTGAACACAGTCTAGGTTTTCTAGAATGCCTGTGTTTTCATGATAAGTTCTTCTTGTAGGTGCATCTGCTTCTCACGTTTTTAAAAGTAATTTATATATTACAAACTGACAGAGGAATTAATAAAACTGTTTGCAAAACCTGTGTGACGCGTGTGTGTGGTGGAGGTCTAGGGGGTGCAAGATGGCTGACCATGCTTTGCTGCAGGAACAGGAAGCAGTAAGACCAAATGGTCAGTCACACTGTTGGACTGAATGTTCATTTCCTGTTCCTTCAGCTGCTGCTTCTTGCTGCCTATGGTCATTTCTAAGCAAAGTGGTGATGAGTTTGTGAGCATTGAAACTGAATACAACAGCACCTCTAGTGGTGGGAGTATGTTAGAGCATCTCTGCTGCATTAGTTTTGTTCGTCAGTTTTTGGGTTGAGGTTTTTCATGTTTGGACAGTTACTCCTTTTGGTTCTGGATGCAGCGCAACTGGAAAGGTGTCTGCTTTTTATTCTAACTTTCAGTTGTAATGCATAACCATGGCAACAAGGTTTTTACAACAGCTGGCAGCTGATTTGCATCCCCCAGGGCTAGAAATACTTGACCTCTGACCAGGTCATTTTAATTCCAGAGGAGTTGAAATGAGGCTTCATGGCTGCAGAGCAGGAGGTCCAAACGTTTTCATGGATCAAAATGGGTATGAACTTTAGGATCTTGGTCCCCAACAGCTTCAGTTGGCTCAACATCCTCAGTAAACACTTAACCCTCCCAAGTGTAGACATCAGAAAACCTCAACATCCTATTCTGAAGAAAATATAATCAGTTTATTTCTATAGCGCCAATGCACAACTACCATCTCAAACAGATTATGTTTATTATTCAAATTATAAAATTTATCTAAGAAAACCCAACAGATTGCATCAAGTCATTGACTTTACAACAATCCCTCATACTGAACATCGTATAGCGACAGTGGAGAGGAAAATCTCCCCTTGAACAGGAAGAAACCTCCAGCAGAACCAGAACTTATTTCTGGGTTAATTAGTAGCCATGATTGTTATTATCCTACAACTGTGTGTTTTAATCTTGTTTGGGTAGCGAAGCCTCTGCTGTCTGGTGTCATGCATTGATTCTCTAAAGTTCGGTTTTGATAGAATTTAGCCTGCTGTTAGCTCACAGTTAAACTTGTAGGTGATCGCATATTAGTTTGGTATTCACAGTTTTGAGACTGATTCAGAATCACTTGTGGACATTGATTAAATACTGTAAATTTTAATGTACAGACCTATCACTTTTAGCTAATTTAGCCCATGTTGTTTTGCTGTATGAAGAGTCTCACACTGTATTATTATGGAATTGGAGTCATTTTCTGACCAGTAATTTGAAAGCCTAAGCTGGACTAGTAAGGGAAATTTATTGGCACATTTCTCTGAAGGATTGCGTTACACAGAATTAGCTGCATACATGTCATGACTTTTAGGTCTGTTGGTTTTCCATCACTCTGCTCCTGGTTGCCCCTCACAGCTTGGCTCGTTGTCTTCCTGTTTCCACCGCTGCCTCCTCCTCCTCTCTCAGGTTCTGGGAGGTGAGAAAAGTGTGGTCCAAGTTCAGGTAAGAGGTGATGAACTCTGGGAAATGTCTCTTCAGAACCACCTCCAGGAACATGTCTGCTGCCGTGTGTAACCTCTGTTCAGTCCTAAAGCAGATAAAACACTTTAAGGAATTAGAGCAATTAAGGAGAAGAAAAGCCTAAGTCCTTCACTGCAGCATGCTTACCTTTCAGAGGGACACAGGCAGCCAAGTTCAGTGCTGACCTCCTTGGTGAGTTCAGTGACGATCTGCCTGCTCACCACCCTGCCGTCATCTTCTAGTCGAGCCTGGTGTCGGATCCACTGCCACACCTGGCACAGCCGTTTGCTGAGTTAAAAGCTGTTTTGCAGAACTACTTCATCCTACTCAGTCCAGTTTAGTTTCTGTTCAAGAATCATTGTGTCCATTGTTACTGGTAGATAGCTCTGTTTTTTATTTTGGTCCATTTTAATGCCAATCAGGACCTTCTCAGTAAAAGAAGTAGAACTGTTGGGCTGTAAACTAAGAACTCTACTAGAGTTCTTCTTTGGTGAGTTCTACTTCATAAAATCAAACAAAAAGTATAATATATGAACTGTTCATTCACTTTACCCAAAGGTACTCAAAAGTTTTCTGAGGTCCTGATTGCCTGTTAGAACATATTGTGGATATTTTTCAGTTGTCTGTGTCACTGTCCTGTTTAAGGCACCAGGGCTGGAATTAGTAGAAATTCATTTTGATGTGTGGTCTGTTAGTCTACCTGAGTTTGCAGATCCCTAAAAGAAACAAACATGTTTTATCTGTGTTGCAGTCTGTCTTATTCAGTTTATCATGTGTTTGGCTCAAAGCAGGTTCTGTTGGACATGTCAACCTTCCACCACTCCTGTTTCCCGTGAGAGGATTGTCTCTGGAACCTACCTGGGATCTAGAAATCTCTGCGGTGGCCGAGTCTTCCACCTGGCCTCTGTAGAAAAAATGGCCTTTACCTGGAAAACAGCACTATGGTCCTCTTACAGCACTTCTATTAAAAAGTTAATCAGAGTTTCTAAAATTGTTTCATTATGTTAAGCACGTTTTTAGCATCATTTTTAGCAGGGAACGGCTCCTGGTGGTTCAGGACTCAACAGAGAACATGGTGCACCTCAGTGAGAGCAAGCATCTCAGTATGTCTCTCACCTGATAGCCATGCATTAATAAACAGGACACCCACTGCAATGTTATACTTAAGCCCATAAAGAGTGACTCCTCCCTGAGGAAAAAGGCAACAACAAATCATGCACTGTTAAACCTTCTTGCTACTTCGTTCCAAATAGTCTCCAATCTAACCCCTGATTCCACTAACAGAGGGCATGGACAGCAGGTCCTCAGGAGTCACACTGACATTGTCCCGGAGCTGGTGGAGCTGGTTGTCACCCTCAGTGTGAAGCTCAAACAGCTGGAGGAAAAGAAACATCACCTCTCATGTTAAGATGCCAACTTACTGCAATGTAACAACCCGAAACCATGAGAAATCATTTCCAACTTTTTTCATCACTACTGTGACACATAAGCTGTAAAATTCAAGTGAAGCACAAATTCATCTAGAAAGGGGGAAGAGTGCAAAGCAGTTTTGGAAATATTAAATATTTCACAATTTAATATTGTGAAATATTAAATCATACATTCTAATCTGCTAATCAGTTATGCATCAAATGCTGTTTTAGTTTTACTTGAGTCATTTTTTGGGGGATTGTAACTGTTCTTTTACTTGAGTTCCACTAATGTTAAAGTGGTGCTACTCTACTCTTTGGGTGATGTACTCTGGTATTTTGAGCAGACATCCCTTTTTGAAATTGCAGAATTAGATTCATTATAATTTTGAATTTTCTCTCTTTCAGTTGAATTTGATATGTGGGACATAAACAGGAAATGAAATTTTGAAATCAAATCATGGTCCTTTTTTATAGAACAAAAACTACTGAGAGCTGCCTTTTGCAGTACTAAAGCAGTATAATGAGGTACTCACTTCTTGCATGGGTTTAATCAAATTCATGTCATACACCATGAAGCCATCAACACCTGCCTTGATTTCCAATAACTTCAGCCTGAAGAACAGAAAAACAGGAACAGAAGATATTTACCCAAAAGAAAGAAGAGTTACATTAAAAAGAAAAAAAACCTTTTTTTTTCTTTCTAGAAAGTACTATTGCATTAAGTTATGGGAATTACATGAAAAGAAACAAGTGGTAAAATCCAGCTCTTCCAATAAAACACGGCATCACCGTGTTTCAAAAATGCATCTAGTGTGTACCAACATGGAGCAGAAAATGAACCACTGTGTATTCATTGTCAGCCACCTGCCTCCAAACATGCTTTTTATGTGTATCAACTCTGATTTTAACATAACCAGATCATAAATAATGCTGAAATCCTATTATATAAATAAAATAAATAGCCCAGAATTGGTAAAGTAAGTTTTGGCCATTGCTAAACACCTTCTGTCAGCCGGAGATCCAATAAAGCCAAAATTAGCAACTGGTGTGTCTGATACAAAACTTTTAGTTTAATAGAAAACTGACTGGAAAACACTGAAGGAGAAAGTAATATTGTGTCATATAAGAAAAAATAATTTTCCCTAAAACAAAAATTGTAAAACTGTGTTACAAACAATAACATACAGTTACTTATTTATGGGTTTCTATCTTGTTAATTTTTTAATAAAAATGAGCTCAACTGTCCTCACACCTCCTCTGTAAAACCACTCCATCTGTGCACGTGCGTACGTGCGTGTGTGTGTATTGCATTTTCTCCTGTGTTTGAAACTCCATGATGATGCAGCCTCACACAGAGCCAGAGGAAACCCCTCAGGTTGTGGCGTTGTGCTGTTTGTACCTTTCCACAGAGTCTAGCACTGTGCTGTAGGCGTGTGTGTGCTGGCCGTGAGGAAGCAGCGAAGCAGCCATGCCTCCTGTGGCCAGCGCTCCCCGTCTGTGACACGTCTGAACCAGCAGGTCCATGTAGCTCCTCAGAAAACGTTTCTCCATGTTCACGTACTTGCTGCGGTCCGGCAGCAGGAAGTCCTGACGATGACCTGCAGGATGTGACCCCTTGTGACCCTTTGTGCTCTGTTGGTTATGTTAAAGTAGCAGGCGCCACATGGGGCTCACCAAACTTATTGACGAAGGAAGCAGAGTAATCCCAGATGCCACAGTTGAGCCCTGCTGAGTGTTCCCGCAGCTCATAAAGAATCTCCTCCATTTCAAACGTTGCCAACACGTTTTCTATCAGCACCGTCGCCTTGATGCATCCTAGTGGAAGACCCAGCTGCACATAAACACACACGCAGACACGCGCACACACACATACATTCATACAGACAACCACAAACCCAGAAGAAATACTTCCATTGAGGTCATTTACATTTATATTTATTCTGTAAAATAATCCTAAAACAACCTGGCTATCGTCTGCAGTTCAACACAGAAGGTAGCCGGGTAGAGTGAAAACAATTTCCTAATTTATGAAAAATGATTGTCTCCTGATTGATGTAAAGTATGTTAGGTGTTCTTCAAAAGACACCATGAATTATTTTTATCTCACCACCTTACAAATGAAAATCAATTTTTCTTCAAGAAAGCCCGTTCTAGTGAATTTGATTTCCAAGGTGGCCTAGAGCTGAGTGTCAGCATGGGTTAACCAATCAGATGTTTGGGTTTATTCTAACATCTGATATTGATTTCAGGTGTGACTGACACTATTTCTGCTCTGTCATTTAGACCAGACTTCTCACTGCTGCTGTATTTCCTGTTCTAATGTCAGATTTGCTCTTATTAAAAATAATGGATTTATTTTTACACTTTTACTGAACATATAAAATAGTTTAACAATTCTCCTAATAACTTATTAAAAGTCATTTTTTGGAGTCAGACCTTCTGTTGTGTCCAGGTGAAGATGTTGTTCCACAGCCTGGCCTCCACCAGGCTCTCCACCTGCAAGTTAGGGCAAAACTGAAACATGCAAACATCCCACCAATAAACCGTATGAAGATGTCGTTATATGTGGCAAAAGTACAGTGAAGCAACAAAATAAAAATTACTGATAAAACATGTTGCTTTAATACCTTCAGTATTAAAACCACATATGCTGCTAGATGCTGCAGGAAGCTAGAAAAGGCTGTTTTGTAAAACTCCTATGAATCTTTTTCTTTCAAGGTCCTAAAATTCTTTATAAACCATTGGTTCATTTCTTTTCTAGTGTTGCAAACATTAGGCTGTAATCAGCCACCATAATAAAGGCTCCTCCTCTGATGAATGTCCAGGTTTAGCAAGTATAATATCTCTAAGATTACTTTGTATATTAGTTCTAAATTAATCTGAACAAACTTCATACTTGTTGGTTTGGGTAAAAATGAGCTCTAAATAACTGTGGACATGATCAGTGACTGCTTTATTTGATATTTATCAATCTAAAACTCAAGTTTACCTTGAATGATTTATAATTAAAGTATTCAGTTTGGTTCTACTTATATATTCCATGTGAATTCATCACTGGGTTACAGAAACTTGATGGACATTATTAGTTGGCCTCATTATTAGTGACCTGTTTGCTCCATGAAGATAAAATGTATGCCCCCTTTAAATGCCATGAATCTCCACCATCTTAATAAACTTAATATAATCTCTTTAAAGTGTTTGCAGTGTTTCAGATTATTTTTATGGAAGGGTGAAGCGCAAAAGTCACAACAGAATTCATTCTCGTGTTACTATAAACTTGCTTTTTACACTTAGTTGACCCTTCTGGGCCGCCATAGAATTTATTCTGACATGTCTTAGCTTTCCGTTGAAACCAATCAGATTCATTCAGCTGCTGTAGTTGTGAAAAAATGCTCCGTTTATGTTGGATAAATCATTTCAGGGAGGAAACATCCTGAAATATCCCGATAACAGCGTATTTATGATGGAAGCAGATGAATATGTTTCCTTATACCCAGGGGTGAAAGTAGTTTTAAATTCTGGGGGGTACTATGACAAAAAAAAAAAAAAAAATAAAAAAAAAAAAATATATATATATATATATATATATATATATATATATATATATATATTTTTTTTTT